TCTCTCTCTCTCTTTTCTTCTTATTTCGATCAATCAATCAATTTCATCGATTAATTGGTTGATTGTTTTTTCATGGTGGTCTCTCCAGATGGACAAGCATCTACTCAAATGAATGTGGTGGTCGAGAGCCAGGTAGATAGGCCGGTTGAAGGAATATCATGGTCCAATGTGCTGAGGCAAATTCAGGGACGTAGTGATGGGGATGGTGTATTCGGAAATTGGCTCGCCGATGCTCGCACGGAGAGGAAATACCTTGAGGAATGTAGTGAACGATACGAGTATGGCATGACTTCGCAAATTCATGACATGGAGCAGCGTCTGCTTCAGCGTGAGTCTAAAGTGCCTTATGGTATTGCAGGTAAGGTTCCGAATGATTCCGCATTGAAAGGAGAATGCGGCCGCTATATGACTGGCAATGAAGGCCTTCGGTGGACTCATGACGAGTTGTTTGGGATGTTGAAGAAGGAGGCGGAAGTGACTGCCATGAGGAGTGCATTCGCAAAAATTTAGGTGAATGCACGATCAGCGCTTGAAAGTTTCCTGGAAAGAAAACGAAGTGAAGAGGTGAGAGATTGGTCTTAATCGGGTAGTGTGGATGCGAAGAAGGAGGAGAATGTTGGCGATGACATTGTCAGCCAACTTACGTCTTTAATCCAGTCCTCCATTAGAAATGACTTGCTTGACCAAGTTGCTGAGCTTAGTACTAAAGTTGATCCGCATGTGTCCCAAGAGTGTGAGTATTTGCGTCTACGCTGTGAAACAGCCGAGAGTGGATTGACAAAATTGTTGTCGGCGGGTGCCTTGCCATCGATTGATCCTTCTTTTGGATCAGAGGTGTTTGAACTTCCATTAGGTCGAACTTTAGAAAAACTTTCAAAAAGTTGTTTGATTGGTATGTTGCAAGCATTGCGAACAGTTGGTGTGGAGCTTTCACATAGAAATGCGCTTTTGGAGGTGCAAAATACAATGACGTTTCCGGTAAGCGATAGTCAGTTGAGAGCGACAGTTGTTACTCTCGGACAATCGTACAAGGACGCACGAGGAGAGTTAATGGACGCTGTGTTTGAACATAGTTTCTCGGATCAGTGCGGTGAGGGACTAATGGATGGCATTATGGCGAGTTACAAGGAACAGTTGTATAACCTCAGAATTTTGTTAGCAAATACCATTGTTGCTCATTCGCCGGTGCGGGTTATGAAGGAGATGAGCCATGTAAAAAAGGAATTGAATGCTCTCGCGAGCATAAATAAAAAGCATGAGACCAGATTGCATGAGGTGGTGCTTGCATTGGTTGAAGCTCTGAGGCGTCGATGTCCGAAGTGTGGCCGCCTAAGCCATTTAACAAAAGGGGAGTATAGAAAGATAAATGATTTGACGGTTGTTACAGCTACGTGTGACAACACGACAAACCTTTATCCCCATACAGATGCTGTTGTTGATGATGATGAGAAGTTCGCAATGGAAGAAAGGAGAAGGCAGCTTCGTGGGCAGGACGATGTAGATGAATAGTGTGGTTTTTCTTTGTGGTAGTATATGGATTAGCTGGTGTTCGAGTGAAAATAGTAAGAGAGGGAGCAACTAGAGTGGGAAGGAGAACGGGGACGTAGGGTGGGATGACGAGCAAGAATGCGTGTTTTCACATTTGTTAATTTCATTGACGATGATGACACTTGAATGGGTTTATGATAAAATGCTTAAATTCTATATCTTTTCACACTTTTATTTGAGTTTTCTCACTCTCTGTCTCTGTTTCTCTTTCTCTGTCTCTCTTTTTCTCTCTCTTTCTCTTTCTCTCTCTCTCTGTCTCTCTCTCTGTCGCTCTTTGTCTCTCTCTCTTTCTCTCTCTCTTTCTATCTTTTTTTTTCTTTTTTTTTTCCATCTCTGTCTCTCTCTCTCTCTGTCTGTCTGTCTCTCTCTTTTCTCTCTCTCTCTCTCTCTCTCTCTCTCTCTCTCTCTCTCTCTCTCTCTCTCTCTCTCTCTCTCTCTCTCTCTCTCTCTCTCTC